CCAGAATTGGCAATGAAAAACTTTTAATAATAATTTCGGCAAAGTACATTCATCAATAATGACGGAAGGTAACACCTTTATTTCGTTAAGTTGGAACTAGAAGTTATTTTTATAAATTCGACCAAACACGCCTTTTAATTTGATGCAGTGAATAACCTGTGTTACAGTATAGGTAGAGTACGGCCGTATCTACCTCAAACCAAAAAATATAACCATATAAATTTCTCCTATTTTTTAATGTTGCACAGCAATAACTCGCAAATACTGCTTACTGAGGTTTGTATACACGTGCGGCTTTACAGCCGTTTGTATTTTGTTGCCGCAACACTGTGTAGTGCAATAAACCTCTGGATCCTTTATGTACAAATAATGCTGCACAGCTTAAGATATGAAGTAAGTACTATTATCATAAATATAGATATCTATAACACATTTTCTCTGCTCTTGCATGGCACTTGAAGCACAGCAATTTAAAAATAAATTTGATTTAAAGTATCCTTGCGTTCAGGAAAGGCATATATATAATATTTAGAAAACTCCATTTAAAAAGCTTTAATTTGCAAATCCAGTCTCAGTTAAATGTGAGCATGGAACTGAAAAACATTTAGTCTAAAAATGTGTTATGCTCATTATTTTCAGCGAAGTAACAAAGTACCAACAAGAGTACAAAAGTGACCCACTTGCTTAAAACTCATAATATTAAAAATATAATATAAGTTTTAAAGAGTGAATTACTTAGAATACAAGAGTTGCTAGAGCAGACTGGAGAGAGACATGATAAATTTTTACACTAAACATCAGTTATGGGCTCCAGGTAATGTCTAAACACTTGAAAGCCTCAGCTTTTTCATGTGTACTGTCGACGTTATCAGAAATATATTACGGCTTTCGTCAATTAATGTTTTACTACTAAGAAATTATAGCCTAACATATTTCTCTAGCCAAACTATAAGGTTTAACATTAAACATCGAGCGATTTTTCGCTCTAAGGAACTAATTAATAAAGTATAAAGAATTAATAAAGCAAGGAACTGGCGGCTAGGTACTGTGCACAAAGATCTATATTTTGATATATTCAAACAAGTTTCCCTTTAAAATCCTGAGCTTATATTACATTTATAACAATACACCACCTCTGAAATATTTAATCCTCAAATCTATCCTAAGGAATATGTTGTTTAATAAGCCTTCCAGATTGTAATCGGTGCTCGTGGAAGAGAATTTATTACATGGATAAAATTCATAATTTTTTCAATATATCGCTTTTGGCAGATGGATTTTCTAAAAAGAAAATGTAGTAAAATGAAGATTGACCCATTAATCCATGTTCACACATTTCCCGTGAATAATAATGTTAGCGTTGTGTAAGCAATGTGGAATCATTCATATTACAACAATTTGTAGGACAATTTCTTTACTTATGATGCATAACATTTTTGCGTGTTTATAAATAGGATCAATAAAGAAGTGCTATTTATTGCACGTGATAATGTTTCAACTTTACGTTAACAGGTTTCGTGTACTACTAAAGCAATAGCCACCAGTGGATTAAAGTTGCAACGTTGTGGAAAACGTACCGTAAGCTAGTGATCCTTCTAATATTTTCAAAAGTTATTTCAGCATTGGACTGCAGAAGTCGTTTTTATATCACGTTTAAAGAATTATAATAAGTCACCCAGCGAATTAGTTATGCAGCACAGTGCGAATACATACATCGAGCAACAACTTATACATGTCAAGCTTCTTTTATTTTGGCTAAAAGGAAAAGCATGCTATTGTAGTTCATCCAAACTTTTGAAAAAATTTGGTTCATCTCCACTGTAATATGCATTTGAAGATAATTTGTTATATTTATGTTTAGGTACTGCCAAATATTTGCACATTCTTCTGATTCCCATGAAATTCTTCCTTAAAACGGCGAAGCTTAACAGCGTTCGTGAAATGTTTTAAATTTCTGGTTAGGTTAAAATATTTATTCACCAAAAATTAAACTATAAATGTAAAGAAAATTAATAGTGTGCACCTTAAATAAAAGATGCACCATGTGGCTATACTTTACCACGTTTTAGACAATCCTTGTTTTAATTAGCCCACATTGGCAACGGTATGTAAGGAACATTCACAAAGTATTTTTCATGATACTACACATCTGCTTCATTTCTTATTAACTGCGGGCAAACGTTGACTAGATTTGAGCTTTTCAAGCTACTCACTCTCCCCATACTTCAAGAGTGCAACATAATACACGGAAATGACAGAGTGACAGAACTGCTGTGGAGAACCTGCATTTGTCATTAACTAAACATCTGTTTGGAAACGACTCTGCTATGAGTTATCGAGAACGTTGCAATGATCTTCATTTCGACCCAATTTAAATTCAACGATTGAAGCACGAATTGCTGCTTTTCAACCTATTACACAAAAAAATCCTATTCCAACCTTCCTACACTCAATTTGACACATTGTACAATTCGAGCGCTTCGCAGCAACGATTATACATTGAATATATCGTAGGCTAGAACGAACATCTGCTCTAATTTCTTCCTGGTCAGATACAGCTAACTGTGGAATAAACTACCATAAACACTCAGATAATGTGCCAATGTGGCAACATATAGTAGCAGACTCGCCAATTATCTTGATCTAAATACCCTAAGCGCTATTTTCACATGAAAGAAATCCCTTGATAAGCTATTCTAATTGGGTTTTAAAAAAATATAAACACCAATGTTTTCATAACTTGGCTTTAACCTCAACCATCCGGCAGAATGTTAGTACATGAAACACATATCCCAATACTCCACCTATGCATGACACCCATGCAAGCTCATGGATTCTACTGTACAAATTGATCTGTGCCGCTGTAGGCATAGTTTCTCTCATCAAGAGAAAGATACGTATTATTATTATCATCAATATTATTATTATTATCAATAATACATAATTCCGACTCTGGTGTCCTGAGAATTTTAACTGAAATATTTTAAACCTGAGAATAAGTTAGCGTATGCGATTAATTATTTACGGAGTAACCACGATATTTCAGATGAAAATGATAAACTGCTACTTTCATTAATTCTTGGATGATGACCTCGAATCTACATCATAAACTTAGATATTAAATTCAAACTTAAAATAAAAGCCCATTTTTATATCATTATTTTGAAATCAACTATATTTATTAACCCAACACATTTCTGCTCCAAGTTAGTTACATTGCTGCATATCGACCAGCATTTTCATAATACAATACACACATGTTCTCTACGTCCCTGCCGACACCATAGGTGAAAACCCGGTGGTTTTGTAGACAAAGTGGTTCTCCATTTTCAGTGTGAATACTTTACCCACCGCCTGTGTACATCAGCTAGTTCAAGGTTATCTCTAGCGTGCCCATCCTACACCTATGGTTATTGTATCGAAAGCTAACCGTCTACAGCAGGTGTGCAATCTGAAAACTCTAAGCGTAATTACAGATGTGTATGTTGCCCCCATATGAATGATTCCTGGAATCCAGTTTGCCGCTTGTCTGGTGCACCAAGTTAGGCGAGTGTACCAACTTTTGCAAGGCAATCACAATCGATGTGGCCTCAAACGCACAGCTATCTGTCTGGATTACCACACAATTTTCGCTTTAAATCTTTCGACCAAATGCAATACGCCCAACAAAATTCCCTTACAAATGAGAAGAAACACGGTTTTACTAGTGGCGGTAATTGAGCGAATAAATAAGCGGTGGGTAGTTGAAATTGTTCTTATTCAACAACTTAATTTCAGACAACAAGTAAAGATGAATAAATTCCGTCTAGTCAGATATGGATACCTGAAAACAAGAGTGGGTCCAGATTACTTGGTTAAATCGTCATCCGGAGAAGAAAAAACTGTTGTTAAAAAAATTCAATTTTGATAAACTGCAACAGTGTACATAAAAATAGCTCCCTCGGCCATATGTGAATATATCCTACGGAACTCTCCAGCAAGATTAATATCTGTCTTCTGGCTACCTCTCCATTGATTGCTTCCGCCAATTATATATTTTGGGCTATCCGCCGTGACTTTATACCTGACGTTTGGTGCTGTTTCTTGGTGAGCAAAACGTTCTACGTTCAAAGTTTGTGCTAGTGTTTCCGATTCGCAGTTGATTCGATGCGCTGTCTGATGCGTTTTACCCAGCAGATCAACCATTTTGCGAATAATGAAACGGCGTTTCTGCTTTAAAATATGCAATATGACATATTTCTGTATTATTTACTTGCCATTTTATAAAAAAATAATACTACCAAATAAGCATGTTATCCCTTAGTCCGTAATATGATATCTGAATTTTTCTTACTCATTACATTTCATTCCGAATAATAAGTGAGTCGCTTCAGACAGCGCAAATGAAGGAAGCCTGGGAGATTCTAACCACAACCGGAATAGTACGAACATTGACTTCGCTTCCCAAGTGCGAGTGAACTTATGTGTGACAAAGGAAAAATTTGCATCGTGCCTACATAAATATGCAGGAATCAGAATAAGTAAAAATAGAATTTTTCGAAAAGCAGCGAAAAAATGTCAGAGTAAATTAGTTAAAAAGCCTTCAGTTCGATGTGTTATACATCATACCTGTCACTAGTTAATTTTTTCGTAGTTAAAAGTTGTATATACGAGCTTATTTATTTCACTACTTTTTATTTACTGGCTGTCAGCTGGACCAAAATATAGTATTAGGATAGCTTAATATGTGTTGGTGCGTTAATAATTAATGCACCCAATTTGTTACAATTGCACAGAACATCCGTTCAATATCTGAAATGGGTTGTATGGTGTTCGTTTTGTTGACCCGAATTCCAAACTAATTTGATCTATTAATATGATCCGACAAGTGGAACGCACACGCGTCTATAAGCCCGCGCCACCAAAAAGGTTGTTTATTTGCTATGTTACTCTATATCCATTCACAATGCCTAAAGGATGCTTTCTTTGCATAATTTTTAAAACCGTTATATAATTTGCAGGTTCAATGGTTCTTTTTTCCTGTGCCATATATCCAGTCGGTTGGTCAAGCAACTCAGAAGTTTTACAAATATGTGGAGAGCAAAGTTCAAGTTTTCGCTTGGGTAAGTCAAGACTGCATTCGGTTGCTCCCTATGTTTTTTTCACAAGACGGAAAAAACTGGGAGCAATTGGTGTCCGCAAAGCTACAACTAGTTTCTTTGCTCTAAGCATATTTCGCAGGAAAATCGCTTTACACTCTATGTACATGAAGACAGTGCAGGTGGATACAGCAAGCTGTGTGTTTTCTTAGTATTTTGTTAAAGCATGGTGCAAATTCGCCAATATAAAACAAGTTTGTTTACAGACAATAGGCAACCTAGTCCGTCTCACAATAAACCCGTAAATGTAAGCAGATATTTGAAAATATTTCAATCATCTATAACGAGCTTTTATTTAATCAAAATATACTGTTGTCATATTAACTAACAAATCAACTCCGAAGGGATTATGCGCTTTTATAAAACAATTACGTTTAAAATCCTACTACTCAAAAGTAGTATACAACATAAATATCATATCCTAGTTTCAAATGCTATGGATATAGCGTCTAGCGGGAGGACGCTTGAGACTGTCAGTGGCAATGGTAGATAGGTGGTGCTTTATCCAACTTAGTTTGCAAATTATATATCTCAGCCAACATCCACCATGGCTCAGTGGCTTAAGCTGCTGCTTAGTTGGCTTTTGATTATAGCGGTCATGGGTTAGATCTTCAGCAGGGGACCGAAGGAATGCGCACCAAAACGAGCCCCAATAGGGTGGAAAGCGTGTGGTGCTTTTCCGGAGTGGGCTGTGCTACGTACGTTGTGAACTACGTAGATGAATACCATAACATAGTTTGATAACGGTTAAAATTTTTATTATAAAATCATTTAAGTTAGCGAGCCGATAATCCTGTTACTAAAATCAAAACTTTATAATTTATAACATTGAGAGTCTGCATGGTTAACACAACTCTAACAAGTAAGCTTTAACACTTTCACTGGCATAGTTACAAAATTTCAAAAAACTCTTTTGCTATGAATTGAATTTTGTTTATGAAACGGGAATTTAAGGCGACATAGGCATCTTGCTTTAAATGAAAGCGTTGTAGACAATTATTCTAGTGAATATAAATCTTTAATTGTTGCCAATTGGTTTGGGAAGCAAAATGCTTTTAGTAATAACAATTAGCTCATCGGCGCTGTGATATCATTGGTTGCCAGGAAAACTGCAGCGGCATGAAACAGAAACAGGAAGGCATCAACAAAATCATAGGTAAATCAGCAAACCTAATCAAGACATGAATAACATGGACAGGAGCGAGCAATTGTGGAATCTGGGACAACGCTGTTAACCCAGAATTTTGTTTGTGTTCGACCGTCAACTTCATGTTTCACAGGTCACATATCCGTGTAGTCGATATCAAGTCTTTAGACTGTACGGCAAGTTTCTTCACCAACACATGCCGCAAGCAGGAGCGAAATCCTGACTCCGTACATTTTGGATTTCACCAATACATATCGCTGAACTATCGCTGATTTATCTTCTGCAAGTACTGACAGCAAAACGGATTCACATGCGCACTTTGCGTTTTAATATGTAACAAACTGGAGCATGAGATCTGCGGGGGAATATACGGATGTTTATATTATTCAACAGAGAGGCAATTGAAAGATGAAATTCGAAGTGACAAAAGAAATTATTAGAGTGAATTATTTAAGCACACTATATGATAACAACAATGCTTACATTAATAAATTCCATGGTGCAGTAACTGTAGGCAAATAGACTTGCAGCGTGTTTAAATGTATTTTTCTACTGATGAGTGGCATTATGCGTTTTTTGATTTGCGTACAGCATTGAGTGAACAGTAAATTCTAACTGCTCATAAATGTAGATCATTTATTGATGATGTAACTGGAATATACAAAAGTCCTACTCAAATTAAATAAGCGCATTCCCCCAGCAAGATAACGGACCTACTGCGATTAATATATTTTGTATGCGTTATCTATAGGAGGGCCCAGTAAACATCTGTTGTCATTGCAATTTAATTATTGATAATCGGCTAGTGTGTTGTTTGGAGGCACGTTTTCATTACAGTTATGTAGTCTAAGTGAACTGGTGTGATATTATTTATACATATATTCCAATGGTTGGACACTATTCACTAAGTGCAAGCGTCAAAAAGGATATAGATTTAAGTATAAACATATAAGGCTGAATTTAGAGCAAAAAAGGGAGTAAACTACTAACTGCTTTTTAGGGCCTTTATCAGACGCATAAGTCCATGTTTTTAAGGCAGTGTTTTATCTCGCTAAAAATCAGATTCATTTATCGGCGCTCATCAAACCTCGCGGAGCAAGCCCAGATATCAGAATTTTAACTGTTTCGAGTCATTATCCAATTTTTGTACAATTTATTGCATTGAATATTCAGTTGGTCAGAGAAGAGATTTATTCTTAATTATATCTGCAAATATATTGAAGTTAAATAACATTTTAGGTACAGGTACCCAAAGCGTAAATATTACTCAAACTATAAACTATAGTAAAATATTTCAGTTACAGGTAGGCCACATTTTGCACAATTTTGGCTGATCGTGGCAGCATTTTGTGTGGCCGTATGATACGAATGTTTGGTAACCTGTGATATACCTCCGTAAAATTGGTTAAAATGATAACACAAATATCGCGTATGCCCTGTTATATTGTACATGTGTCCGTCGGTGCGACCAAATAGAATTTTTTTTCTGACTCTTTTGCAAGTTTGACGGGGGTTTGAGGAAGTTTTGAATGAAATATTTAACAAAACAATTCATGTATTTCTCGTAATTCGTATCAGTTCTTCAAATTGCTGGAAAATAATCTACTAATGATGCACTGCATGGATGCCACACAAAAACTGTTAGATACTTCATGTAATAAAATTTTGATTTTGATTAAATGCAAATGAGAAGAGAACGAGCTAATGCCTGTACAACCCCTTATCTGGTTTTGGGCTAAATTCGCAATTATTAATTTGGAAGGATTCAGTATTTAATCCTAAATTTAAGGCGTGCACCAAACTACATAACAATCCACATTTTTCAGTCCTATTGAGAATGCCATCATTTAGGATTGCAAAATTATATTTCTAACCATATCGTACACAATGAATACACGTCAAGTTCACGGTGTACATATTTTACTAAATACCGTTATAATTGAGCTGATTTCCGAGTTTGCTCACTAATGACATTTGCTTTAAAGTAGACTAAGTCATGTACTGTTATACCCGCTTCATTGCGCACCCGGTTTATAGCCTAACAGGCTTTGTTGTTCACTATTTTTAATTGCGAATGTTTTTCATAAACCTGCTAAATTTTCACCGTCTAATTGCCCATTGCCGGGGTTTTCCCACCGCTTAATTGCCCAGGTGCTTGCGCTTTGCTCGTCACTTTGGTAATGTTACGCCTCCGCTCCTACTATCTTGTATTACCCTCACCTCATAATTAGCCAGTCCGTTCGGGTCAAGATCAACAAAGGTGTCCGCAACGTTATTGCCGGATCAGTAAAGGTTACCTACCTCATTCAAAACACGTGCAACCTAAATGTGCAGACAGCTGCGGGTAAAATCTCGACGGTATTCAAAACTTGAGATCTCTGCAAGGTCTGGTAAACTGTCCGCCCCACATTTGTCAGTACTCTCTAGGTTACACACTAGTATGGTCAGTAATAGAAAGGATTTGTTATTTACAGAAATGTTGTACGTTTTGGACAAACTTAGCACTTGTCCACTAGAAACCTTGCGTGCTTTACACATTTATCGTCGTACCCGAGCCAGGTTGATCACCAACGAAAAGGAACTCCGGCAAAATGTGTCGCTTTTCATTGCAAGCTCTCAGAAAAGGATGCTAAGTGGAAAGGAGGAAGAAGCTAAAACCGCAATGAAAGACTGGAGGATATCAATTCGAGAGCATAACAATACATGTACAGACCCACTTCAAAAATTGACACACGATATCGGCTTGGAAAATTCTTTGCTGTCACAGAAGGACGGTTTCAAAAATGGAATAATAGAAATAAAATTGCGGATAAACGTGAGTATGGCGAAAAGAGTTCCGCGGATAGAGCAGTCTGTGAAACTAGGCTAAAATATCAACTTCCTGAACTTTCAAATACATTTGATGATGACAACGTGTACTTTGCAGAGGTAACAAGTCCTTTTACTGAGCTACTACAGAGGGCACTGCTTTTTTCTGCCGACAGGCACAGCGGATCCAAAAACGACGTCGATCACTCTCCTGTCCTGCAACAATATGTCAAGCACGGATAAAAGAAGAATGATTATGGTTTGAAAACTAGGCAAACGCGATGTTTTATTGGTCTGAACTTGGACACACTCCCATAATTTTCAGAATCAAAAGTGCGAGAACGAGGAAAGAACTATGGGACAAGTAGCTAGGCCCAATTTACTAAATAATTAGGTTGCTTTTGGATAATTGCACAACGCGTCTACAAACAGAAGGTCTTAGAAACCTCTGATTGGATGTTTTGCCAGTAAACATGACCAGCATTTGTCAACCCACGGACATAGGTGTGATTATGAATCTGTAAATATATTGCAGAAAGGACATCGTGGACCGAATTCTGTCACATCGAAAACAAAGTGTTATCTGTTTTATCTTTGGCAGTGGATGTTAGCGCCAAGATTGCTATTATAGATGTCATAGAGTTCGTCACAAAAATGTGAAGACAATTTATCGGTGTAAAAATAAAAGCATGCTTTCGGCATACTGGCTTCAGTCGAGTGTCATCCGATGCACTTTCTGACGACGTAGTCATCGATTGTAAAATCTCGGACATTAAGACAAAGGATTTCATCGCCATGGACAACAATGTGGAATGTACCTCAGATTTGACACCTGTTAAAGATTAAAATTTCGGTTAAGTTTTAGCGATATGACTAAAACAGAAGGAAGACAGCGACTTTCAAGTTGATGTGCTGGATGCTTCCAAGTGAAACAACAATCAGCGCTTGTCACATACAACAACAAATAATCGTGTGAAAGGTCTGTATAGCCACGGATATTTGCATGGGCTAAACAAAGCATTCTTGTTTACATTAGACAGCATCTGCGAAAAAGTGACTTGAATACCAGCCCAAAGTAATGCACAACTGCCGTTGGACCTTTTTCTCAGCCGGAATATACAGTAGCACTGATATCTTAATCTATCCAGGTAAGATGCTTTGTGTTATACTTTTTAATAATAAGTCAAGCTTATCTAAAAAACGTCTTTTGTGGGCTTGAGTTACAATTATGTATATTATCCTTCCTGATACCTTATAATTTAATTGAGATACTGTGCGGAAGTAAGATGGTTGATTCAATTTCGGAAAACAAGCAATTTCAACTAAGTGCCCACCCCGCTTTTTGCCCACTTTGAAATATTCGAATGGTCGGCAATCAAGTGGTTTCGAATGTAGTTTTACCAATCAGGTGGGCGCCACACATGACCTGCAATTTTGCACATTTTACAATATGAAACCTTTAGAAATATTCCGTTACGCAGCTACAAAGAAATTGCCGTGAAGCACATATACTTGTAACTTAACTATTCAGCGGCGGGAGCACGTAGTAAGAAATTATTTGCGCTATCTTTCTTACCAGGATTCCAAGCTGCAGGAGTACGGAGAGCAAAACGAAAAGACAAGGGTTGTAGGAACATACACATGGGTAAATAAATCCATCAATTCACCAAATGCTTATGTCGCACAATGCTTTATAGGTAAATAAATACAAGGGGACTAGACATTCCTACCGTAGCGATGTCGTTAGTAACCCGTCTCTACCGGATAGTTAATAATTATATTAAATTTATTCTGAAACCTTTTATTATGACTTATTTTTAATTACGTCCTGCTTACTCTATCAAACTGCTTTGCATTATATATTACATTTCTCCTATTCAGGGCGGTGTCAATTGGGATGGACTTATTTTACTACCATACTTGGAGGTTTACTTGCAATATTTGCGGCAATTTTGCCCCATTTATGGAAGCGCAGCGCCCGATTGCAACAAATATATTTCCATCAAAATGGAAAGGCCCTTCAAAACGGTGAACTCGCCCCTGCGCATTCAAGGAATATGAACATTGCTGGACACAGTGCTTCCTGTGGAATTGGGGCTTTAAATCCGACAACGGAACAAATGCGTCATGGAAATCACCATGGATGGTTTAGGTGGTTTTTTGCTCCCAATTTATATCGGATCGTAAGAAGACATCCATTATACCCATCTGCTCCAGAATCAATTATACGAATGCAGTCAGTAAGCACTAATCCAACGCACAGCATTTTGAAGAGTTCATATAATGAGCTCGGCGAAGATCAGTCAAAGCCAAATAAGCATACATAAAGTATAACAGACAACGGACAATAGATATGTTTGACTGCGATCAATTTATGGCTCTTATTAGTCATGTCTTTTTTATTATTCACGTTTCTAACTAGTCGCCAGTTTAAAAAAACCTATTTGCATAAATGCAGCGTATTGGATTATACCATTCTTATTATCTCTCTAATTGCTGTTGAGCATAACTCCAACGCGTGCCTGGGAGCTATTATTTTCCGACCGCCACTCCAATGTACATTTAGAGTATGTGTTCGTATATATGAATGATCTTTCCGGTGGGCAAATCGGTATTTGCCATGGTTACGTGTGGTTTGAAAGGATGTGGTAAATGTTGCTTTAAAATGTTTCAGAAAACCTCTAAAAAGAAGGCACATCTGTTTATCATAAAACTGAAATAATTGGAAGGCTATTCGTACTAGGAACATGTCTTAAGTTATTCGATATTTTGCGTAGTAAATTCCAATATTTTGCGGTTCATTATAACGAGGTAGTATTTTGCCTTTATTTTGGCCTGCTATTTTAAGTATACATTATCAATTGCTTGCACAATGACATTACTATAATAACGAAGGAATAATTCACATATTTGTCATAGTCTTTCTGATAAGCCGAAACTTTATGTAGAAATAATGAAAAGTATCTTGCTCCCATTATTTACCGCGCGGGTTTTAGTATAGCAAAATAATTATAAACTTTTGGAACCTACATGACGCTGCTAACTTTAAAACGAGTATAGGAAGAAAATATGTTTTACAGCGTCTATCGAGCTCTTGCAAATACTCTCCAAAAGACGCCTCGGTAAATTACTCAAATTATACTTAAACTGAACATTAGCGTTAAATGGGAAACATGCATTTTCATACAGCGAAGATAACATGGTATATAAAACGCGTGCTAGCAATACGGCAGTCGATCTGTCGTATTTATCCAGCACAGAGTTAAAACATTTTCTTATTTTTTGTTAGCTCCAATAGGTCCGATTATTGTGGCATGCGATTACTTGACGAAGTGAAGGTCTGTGCTGTTTACAAACAGTCCGAATACCCAATATTTTGACTGGGATTATATTATTTTGATGCGCAAATATATACCATTCAAAGTAAATTGCATTAGTGGCAATACATTACACAAACCCATTTGGTAAAACGATACATGCCCATATAATAAATGACCACAGTTTCATCCTATGTAAAATTCTCCTCAGCTCAATTCTAGCTGAACCCCCTGGGACTACAACCCGCATATCTGGTGTAGGCATTATATGCTTACGAAACTTGAGCCAAAGGAAATGGAAATAACGGAATTAGCTAAGTTATTAGATGTGACAGTACGCTTCCTTGCGTGTAATAAGTGTTATGTCCAACTTCATTTGCTCACTGATATGCAGCAACTGGCTCGAAACAAAAGTTAATCAAAATATAAAATAAACATTATTTGTTAAACAATGTTTATAGCAAAGTCAGCTGCCTTCTGTACGATAAGGAACTCCAAATCTAGGATTTTGTGTAGCCCCTGAAATTTCGGATGTTAGTGGTAATATAATTTAAGCTCGAGAAACGAATTTTAAATAGTGTATTTATTAGATTTTTCTAACGAAGCCAAACGAATTTCGATTCGGCGAAAGTAAGCGAGAGTTCGTTGCTTATATCATCGTTTAACATCAGCGCTTAAACATCAGATTTTTTTCAGGCTAACAGCAGATACAACTGCGCATAGTGTTAGTATTATACAAGTATCAAATAGCTAGACGGCAACGGGCTAACCGCGTATTGTACGAAAGACATTTGCCCATGAGCCTCAGATATATGAAAATTCACCAAGGGTAAGAGTTTGGGCTCCTTGAGTGTTGGAAATATTTATTCCTATAATGCATATTGTTGCTGATAATTGTTACGATAAGCGAATCAGGTAGCGCTGTCGGTTTTATGAAATGGCGTTTGGTTCCATAATAGATCATGGGACCACTAGAAAGAATGATTTTCCTTTAAACGCCACGGTCCTATTATTCGAAAATTGCATGGATATAATTTTTATAATTCACCTGCGTATAAGAACGAGTGCTGTTTTGCTTCATATATAAAAGTTTTTTTCTGGCTGAGCTTAATGCAACTACGGTTTACAATTTCACAGAGCTAGTAATGTCGTCGCAGTCTGTTCGCTACTACGGGTAAAGAGAACCACCATTTGCTGTGTACCGGATTGAGTGTAAGCTCAGTGTCAGAGAAATTTTGTGATTGACGGATATCCCTTTTATAGTGCAGAAGGTGCCGCTAGTTTGTGGTCTCATTACTTTATTTGTTAATTTAAACCGTAGGAATGTGTTACGGTATATCAAATGGGTTCCAGCCGTGCAAGCATCTCTGTAACTAGTAGTTCGTCCCACATAGCACATGCTCACAACCAGTTTATGCGCAGTTTCCTAATTTACACGAACTTTGTAGTATCAGACCCATTACCCTGTGTTATGTCTGTGCATCGGGAACTCATACTAGGTCGTAAAATTTGTTTATTTGCATATGTAACGCACCTTTTATTTTATTGTATATGATTTGGTCATATATGTAGGCATTTAATTGATCCCTATTTTGAACTATTCAGTCTTGTTTGACCCGCTGCTCAACCATTCTGTTGTTCCTGGGTTTTTGCCTTTAGTTGAATTTCTCTGTTATCTCATTTGCTTTGATGATGGAGTGTTGTGAGATTATATTCTTTGACCACGATTTTAATGTCCTCACTTTTGTGAATGCTTAAATGCATTCAACTTTGATGGTAGGTTACAGAGTCATTTTAATATGCACGCTGTGTTGCTGGAATCCGAAGCCTAATCTCAATATGGACTGCCAATCTATTTGAGACGAGAATGATCATTTCGATTACTAGGACCTTTGATGCTAAAAAGGTCAGAATCTGGGTGTCTTCGTTTGGGCAAAATTAACTTTTCTTAATAAACTTTATATTTGTAGGTAGTACTATTGATAAGCTTCCCAAATGAGTTATCCGTTGTCTGGTGTTCTACGAGTGACTCATGTTCCAAACGTGTTTATGCATAAGCTGCATAACCTACAGGGTATTTTATTATATACCTTGCGCATCGGGCCATTTGGATAGCGGATATCGGCCGCTACTTTGTCGTACTTTAGTGGACTTGACAGATATGGTACTAGCGATCCACATTAGATATTTAGCATCGTACTGAATGATTGTATTATTATTATTGTTGTTAATTGATGGGCTGCTTTTTGATTGATGACTTTGGCAATGACCGTCTGACATTGAAAATGTTGAACTCTTACACATTCTTTACGAAAATGAACCACTGCGTTGATTTCTCTTTTATTGCCACCATCTAACCGGTAGTCGGTGTTCTTCCCATCAGTTTGCAATCCAGCTTGAGAATAATGGCTGCTTCCATTGTTCACGAAGAATAAGAAGCTGTGTTTAGTGATTCGGTGAATGTATTTGCCACGGAAGATACAGTTGCTCGTGGTCTATTAGCTTGGTCTTTAACTGCGTGTACAACACGACAAATAAACCACGCTCGTCCGCGAAAGTGTTATGATAAGAACAGTAAGAAATACGGAACAATGATTTAATACGAATAGAAAACTAAGGCATTATCAGTTTCATGTGATTGTTTGTGTTAAACAAGCATGATAAAAATATTTACACTTAATTGAAAAGCGCACATGCGGATTCACATATGATCCATGCTAGCATATTTGTACATCCGTTAACCCTGATTTCGGGAGGTTCGGTGTGCACAATGTTTGTCCGCCTCTTGTCGTCGCTCAATGAATAAAAATAAATCAAGTACTGTTGTTGAGATAATGCATGGTCTAGAAGTTTTATTTAAATTGCAGCGTTGTCGCGGTAATAAAAATGTTGAAAGTGAGCTCAACGGCTGGGTAATTCGAAGAGAATAATATGTAGTCGCATTGTTACTCTTCATCAGCTGCCATGGGTAATACGTAGTACCACTAAGCATGTAACGCACGCTTCCGAGACACGT